CAAAAAACAATTAATAACTATTTAGCTACTGGAAATAATCAAAATACTCTTATCTCTTAGTGTTTCCAGTCAACACCATGGACAAATTAATGAACAGTGAGTAATTAATGACTGGCGCGAAGTTTTTGCAAATTCCTTATGTTATTATTGTGGATTTTGAATAATGCTCACTGAAATTAAAATCTGTTTTTCCTAAAATTCTCGATGCTAAACCATTTTTTTATTTCATTACAATCGTTTAAAATTACTATTTTATAATCCTTATCAAAACAGTAATCAAACAAAGTTGTCAATTATCTTAGGAAAAGGATAAGTACTGATTGTTGGAATAACAATGGAGTAATTCGCCACACAAATCTTTTTGCTGTCGACAAGAATGCTTTATTGCGTTTAATGTAAATAAGATTAGTATTTTAATCATATAAAAAATCATAAAAACGGAAATTGACTAAGTTATTAATGATTGATGGAAGTGAAATTAGTAATAATAAAATTCATCAATAATCGATAATAGGATGCGGGAAAAGTGATGTAATTTCTCTTCGTCTGAAAATTTAGCTACGAAAAGTGTGAGGAATTGAAAGACCTCACACTTCGACACTATTGTATATCTGTTCAATGCTTTTTGGCGTGATAAGGGGCGAGTGCTGATGATGTTGGTGTCGTACCATCGGCAAATGACATGCGGCTGATATTGTATTGAAGCTCAGAGATATCCGAATTATTTGACTCCAACTAAAAATTATTACGGATTACACCTTTCAATTTATCAGTGACATCAGTTCAAGTTTCCATTGTAATTATTCAGAAACATATTTGCCAGTTCTTGTTTTAGACAGATTTCAATTTGGTAAGGCAGATTTCCTTCACTCTATGCGAATAATACAAATAAATATTCTAGTCAAAATTGAACTAACATTATGGGCTTGATTTTCCAGATTTTCGGATGGCGTGTAGCTGATTTGGGAAAGTGATGCTGGAAAAGATAAGAATGGTGGAGTTTCAGAAATCGTTTCATTTGAATTCATACGGTATGAGAAAGATCGATCAGCACTCAGTTGAGATGACAGTTAGAAGAATGAAAGAAATGAAAAGTTTCTGAGAATTAGAAAAAATTTTTTGAAAAACTGCGCTACCAAACAGTTTTTCACCTGTTTCAAATGGATATGGATTGTAATTGTCGACAACTGGTGTTCGGGAGTGACACGGATAATTGAGATGGAAATTATTGCGGTCGGCACTGCTGCGCTCATCACATGATGGAACCTTTGCGCAATCCTTTATGAATCAACAGTTTTTAAATTAATAATTTCCGAATTTAGTTTGTAATGATTAACATTATAACTTGAAATGCTAGGCAGTCGATTCTTTACCTGAATACTTTTTACCGTCGGAGTAATTCAGTGAATGCAAAAAACCACAGCCGCATAACCATTTATGGGAATGAAAAAGAGGCATATTAAATAAATCAAAACTGCAAAATTTAGAAATGTGAGTAAAAGGATCATACCACTTTTGTGTCACCTGCTGCAGGAGGATAATGCCATGAACTGAAGTCATTCCCAGTTTCTATCGCTGAAGATGATGAATAAAGATTTGTAGATGTTGTCATTGAATTCTGCAAAAGCTCATATGTTCTAATTTGCCATTATTGCCAATAGTGCAAATTGGAATGTTTTGAAATTTCTTACTGTTGCATCACAATTTCTTTGTCCAACTGAAGCAGTTGGTACTGTTGCTGATGTCAATGGAACAGATGGCGTTGTTGTCGAAACAAAATCGTTATTGGCATAAGGTTGATTATTGTAAACTGAAATTGTTAGCATTTACAGTTGTAATTTAAATTGCAATTTAAAACAGTAGTTAAAAGTGATAGTAGCTAAAAAGACAACAATTCTTACAGCTATTCCCTATTAGATTTATGGCAAACTCGATGATGTCCTGATCGACGCTTGAAATTCGAATTAATATTTTTGTTTTACACTAAGTTATATCCGGCAGGAAAAAGTAAATTTAACGAAGCTATAGTCTTGAAGCTACAAAATTATAATTGAAGCAGGATTGTAGGTACAGTCATTGGTGACAGCCATAAATGNAACGAAGCTATAGTCTTGAAGCTACAAAATTATAATTGAAGCAGGATTGTAGGTACAGTCATTGGTGACAGCCATAAATGCTGCAGCATGTTGAATACGTCGCATAGCTTGGTGATCGGGGCGTGATCGATGAGAGCCGAAACGCGTACCCGCAAACGAACGTGCCGTAAACGAACAGTTTTCCTTTGTAGTATAGCGGAAAAGAAAGGGTGGTATCTGCAAGTAACTGAGATAAAAAGCTGTCATAGCTTTCTATACACCTTACAGTTTCAAATAAGGAACAACTGACTGATCATATAAGCTATTAGAGCTCATATAATGTTTGGTACATGAGTGCCCAATCACTTTTTCTCATATTTTCATAGTAACGAATAGAAAGAGCAAATAGTTTGTTTCAAAGTTTGTTGAGAATTTGCATGCGAAATGTCAGACAGCTCTGCTTACTTGCTGAAGTTCGAAAGCTCACTTTATTGTTTCTAATAACCTTCACAAATTTGAAATCACACCTTATTTTCGAAGAAGAAACCACTTCTAAGCAAATCATAAGCAGAATCATCCAACCAGTTGACTAACTGCAACAAAATACATCGTTGTGACTTCAATTCTTTGTTTTTCGAACCTGGAAAACTTGGATTTTTTTCCTCCTTTTTCATAATTCATTTTCCTCCTATCCACTTATCATGAATGATAATTGACAAATTAAAAATTTTCTGTCCAATTTATTTTCAACTCCTAAGTGGGCAATTTGCAGAATACAAAAAGTTAAATTAAGGAATGGATGCGTATCGGTCGATAGAATTCTATCGTATTAGTTAGTTAGTTGAGCATTCCTGATAAACTAACTTGTTTCACCCAAAATGTTGCCATTGCTATTTAGAACATTATGGAGTACGGCCGGAGTCTCGCAGAAAAATGCAATACCATCTGGTATTGGTGTGTAATTTATATCAGCGTTAACATCGCCTGTCCAAACAGTGATAGTATGCGCATAGTTGATCATTTGGCAAGATACTTCACCCGGATTGCAATAAAGCAACATAGATGCTAGAAGAGATAGTATCTTTTATGTTTTGAAAAACTAGAAATTTAAAATTAGAAAAAGATTGAAAGAAGTAATATGTGTGAATTTAAACTAAACAAACATGGAAAACACGCTGTAAGATCTTCCTCAACAATCCCAATGCTTGTCGCGATTGTGGTGAAAATTTCGTTTAGCCTGTTTCCCGTTTTAATCACTAATGTTCGCTCTCTTTCTCCTGAAGATATAAAAGGTCTAAATTTGACTTTGGCCGACAGTTATCACAGAAGAAACGAATTAATCTAAATCCAATTTTTGGATTTAGATTAATTCGTTTCTTTTGTGCTTTTTTTGAATTTTTGGGAATTAATCTAAATCGAATTTTGAATCACAACTATTAATTATTCAAATAGTACTCAGTTAGGTCGAACTTCCCTCGAAGAATTTCATCAAGCATGCAATAATCTTCCTTCTGCAAACATTCAACTAATTGTTTTTCCTTGCAATTTTTATTGCTTTAAAATTTGTAAAATTTCACTCATTTCATGCATTCACATCAAAGTAATTACGAACTTTATTTGTTAAAAATTATAATTATTCAGCTAACCATATTTCGGTTCTTCCAGCTTCCAACTCTCCAAAAATCTCCCCGCGAGATGATTACCATAATTCTCCATGAACAAACAAATCTGAATTAACGAGAATTCTCAAATTAATAATAACCTTTTTCTCTTACATAACAATACTATCAAAAGTTATTTGCTCTTTTGACGATAATTTATCCCGCCAGTGAATCAGAACAAAAAGAGCAGAAAATTTGTTTTTACCCGACGTCGCGGGATTCGATGATGCATATAAATGCCCAGGAAATTGATCAATTCTTTCAGTTCCGTGTACATATTCCTTCATGAAAAAATTCAGTCAGTTATTCGAAACGAACATTCTTCTAATACAAAGTACAACTACTCGAGCTTCACAGATTAACGCATAAAAGTCATATTTCATACAATTTAATTTAATCCGTTCCAACTAAATCTCTAACTGTCTATTTTCTAAAAGTCTATTGTCAGATTACATTTTACAAGTTTTCCAGAACATTCTTTCATTTTAGGATCTCTTCCTAACAGGTATTGTCTGATAATGCTATAGAGCTTACAGATCGACCCAGAAAAACAATCCCAACACCAATCAATGAAGTAGAAAAAACAGCAAACAATGAACCCAAAGAAAACGATTATTCCGTAGAATGTAAAAATTTGCATACATAAAACGAAACACATTGAAAATGTCGTTAATTCTTAATCAAATAAAGCTTTGCTGCTGTCAAGTTTTTTGAATATATTTGCGCCAATTTAAATGACGCGCTGACTTGCTGTACAAATTGGTAAAGAAAACAACGTAAAGGCAAAATCGAAGGGAAGCCCGCTTTTACAACGCCATTAGTTGATTGACGCGTCCGCAATGACACTGTTCAGACACCAACGCGTTCACGGTGGCACTGCTTTACTGACGTG